GGATATCGTGGGATGGGAGTTCGGGAAACTCCCCGACATTTGGATCGCGTCCTTCTGACATCATATTGCAGGCTTCGGGGAAGGGAACCAGGTAGTGTTCCAGTCGGTAATTGAGTTCAGTTTGGGAGGATAGACTACGTGGGTGCTAAACAGTGAGATGCGTTCAGAGTGATAGGTGAGCAGTAGGGCCATGGGCAACGATCATGTGGTATGAAAATGTTGTAAGACTACGGGGGAGCCATAGCATTCACTGTGAAAGTGTTGTAAGACTACGGGGGAGCCGTAGCATTCACTGATGGATAGTCAGGGTGGGGATGTTGTCAGACTACAGGGGGCTGTAGCATTCACTAATAATCGGATGGCATGGGAAGTGTTGTAAGACTATGGGGTAGTCGTAGCATTCATGAGTTCTTCGAGCGATTGGGTCTACGGTAGATCAGTTCGTAAAGTCGTAGGAAAGCCACAACTTAGGTAGAATCAGGATCAGAGGGATTATTAGATGGATTATTCATGGGCGAGCCCGGATGGGTATGGGATTTCAGAATGGAAATGGTAGAGACTGTTGAGTCAAGGGTTGGATCTCGAGTTGCAGGATCTTGTGGATAAGTGGCACGTGATGCAGTATGGCTACGGCTGGGAAGTCTTGGTTTTTGATCACCTGGAAACCTGGTGGTTGGACCAGATGAGAGGGTAGTCTCAGGGATCGGCTAAGGGTGATTCTCTATCGGCCACGAAGGGGACGTTGGAAGTTATGGTGTATTATAAGCCTCAAGGTAGTAGTGGGGTGTCGACTGGTTTCGGAAAGGATTCCGAATCAGGGTTCGTGCATGTTCAGTACAGGATTTTGTTTCAGTAAGATGAGATTGGGAGCATAAGATGCCAAGGGCATCAAATGCAGGATACCAGGGTAATGAATGGGTGTGGTTGATGGTAGCTCAAGCCATCACAGTGTGACTCGAATTGGTTCTATCAGTAATGGGACCATGACATGTTTAACCAGGAAAAGACAGGTTGAGGGAGGTCGGGTATGATGTAAGACCACAGTTGTTCTTGTGGCATTCATTTTGCGTCGGATTCAGTGGCGACGTGTTGTCAGCCTGTCATGATCGGATGGATCAAGGGAGTGAAGGAGTCGAGAGAAAAGATATCGCCAGGGCGGTTATTATCAGACGAGGTGTCCTTCGGAGGTCATGTGGGAATGTGGAGCATGTGTCTCTGGCCCAGCAATCGGGAAGGTGTTTGGTGCTTCGGACAGTTAACAGTTAAGTCAGGACCAAGGAGGTCCGGGTCGTTCTTCAGAAAGGCAGTTTCGTAGTAGCGGCAGGTTGTTAGAGCCACAGTGACAGGATAACTAGTGGAAACTAGTTCCAGAGAAAGTTTTCGTTCAAAAGTCGTGGGAGAGACTGAGTGAGGAGTCCTTGGACTCCACAGTTGAGTTGGAACTCGGTGTTGTAGGTAACCGGTGGATGATTGGAGACCAGGAAGGTCTCTAGATATTTGGGAAGCAATCATATAGCAGTTCAGTGTTTCAGTCAGTTCAGTGTTTCAGGCAGTTTGATACTACCGACAATAGTGACCGGCACCGAGAGTGGCTGGAGTGATGGTCACCGTGAAGGGTACGTTCCTCACAGTGACAAAGGAAATGGATAGCTATGGAGGGCGGTCTTGGGGAGGCCAGAAACGTACGAGGAAAAGGAAGTAAACCCCAAGAATGTTTAGCCTAGGTACTCGGGGAGTACCGGAAGGATTGCCAGTTGAGCAGGGGGTGTTCTCAGGAAGGTTAAGGATTAGATTGTACTCGGGGATTTGACCTGTAAGGATTATGCCATCCAGAATGATCGGGCAGAAGGCTAATAGGGTTAGAGTCACCAGGCAAGGTGTTGGAGGCAGATTGCAGGTCAGTTAGCCATAGTGAACTTGGAGGACGAAGTTTAGTTTAAGTAGGGAGAGTTGTAACACCCGAAATCAGAAAGGCCCAGAAAAGGAAATGTAACATCCCAAGTCAGAATCAAGAGTTCACGGGGGTAAAGTGTAAATAAAGAAGGGGACTCGACGAGTAGGTATCCCGACTCGCCGAGTCGGAGCGGGATTTTGGTCGCGAGTTAAGTGACCAACTCGTCGAGTCGGTATTTGGACTCGACGAGTTGGTGCTGAAGAGAGAAAAAACCTTAATCCTGGGGTTGTGCCCTATATAAAGAATGTTATGTTCCTCCTTCAGCCTCTTTACCTTCCCTTTGAGTTCCAGAAACCCCAAAATTTGTGTGAGGCTTCATTGTTGAGGAGATTGGGGGCTTAGAAGAGGAAATTGGTGGAAGGGGCTTGAGAAATTGGAAGTTAGCACCAAGGGCTTGTATAGATCTATGATCTACATCAGTTTTGGGCACATCTCTGAGGTAAGGAGCCTTATCTTGAGCTATTTCCTTTTGGGTTTATCCTTGGTGGTTGTTTTGGGAGTCCCTTAGCTTGTTTTGAGACCTATCTCGGATTTGGGATTTAGATCTGGGGTTGCTGCTCCAGATCTAGACTCATGATGGCTTAGAATGTCATAAAGCTTCAGTTCTTGGGTTGTTGGTAAAGCCCCTTTGTCTAAAATCTAATCCCTAGTGTGTTTTGGGCTTATATCTCCTTGGTATCACGTACAGTTTGCAACTTTACGTGAGGGATAGCTTGTAGAAGGGTATATCTATGGATTAGAGCCCCTGCATGGCTTGAAAAGCCTCTGAATGATTGAGAACTAAAGATACTCGGTGAGTCACATGAGTGTACTCGACGAGTTGTATGAATATGCACATGAACTCGGCGAGCTGGAAGAACAACTCGGCGAGTCTGTTGAAGATTGCCTTGGACTCGGCGAGTCTGTTCTTGGACTCGGCGAGTCTAGTCATGGAAACCTAACCTTTTCTGGTTAAGTCGTGAATCGATGAGTCGAGGGATGACTCGGTGAGTTGAGCGGGATGGGACTCGAAGATTCTTGGACTCGACGAGTCAGCGGGTTGACTCGACGAGTAGAGTTAGTCAGGAAGTTTGGTTTGACTAAGGAATTTAACTTTGACCAAGAGTTGACCAGTTGACTTCTAGGGGTATTTTGGTAATTATTGGCATTTATTGAGTTCAGTTATTTGGTGTTGACCAGTGGAGGAGTTCGTATCGGTGGTTGGAGCAGTGTGATTTTATTTCTTCAACCGACAGTTACAGGTGAGTCTTCTCACCATACTAACGGGTCTAAGGCACCAAGGCCGGCCAATCTTATGTTGTGTGATATGATAATTAGCTTTATGCTAGGTGGTATGCTGGTAAATATGTGATATGCTAGTTGTCTTTGTGATACTTGCATGGAAGACCATGTGGGGTAGCCCATGGCACAATGGTATAAAACCCTGGGGGTAGCCACGACATCCTTACAGGTTTATGTACGTGTTATGTGTAGATATTTATGTGATGCATGATATGCTATTTGGTTATATATGGTATTTGCAGGGAAGACCCCGGGGGAAGCCCATGGCATTGGATGTAAGACCATGTGGGGTAGCCCATGGCAATCCTAGGTAAAGACCATGCGGGGTAGCCCATGGCATTGGATGTAAGACCATGTGGGGGAGCCCATGGCTGTCCTAGGTAAAGACCATGTGGGGTAGCCCATGGCACTATTACAGATTTTATGTATCCAGGGCTTATGTGATATATGGTGGCTTTTATAGCTAACAGTATATACGATATGTGTGTAACTTTTATAGCTATCAAGATATGTGATATGTGGTTTGTGTGAATGGTATGCTCTTGGAAACTCACTAAGCTTCGTGCTTACAGGTTTGTTTATGGTTTCAGGTATCATCGTTTTGGAAAGGAAGAACTCGGGTTGATCGTGGTGCACACACCTATGATTTCCGCAATGAATGATTTTGGGATAAACTCTGATAAACGATTTGATTGACTATGATTTGATTGTTTGAATTAAATGGTATCAATGTTTTAGTTATATTAAAGATGAAATTTTTACCCCTGAGTTTTGGGACGTTACAAAAATAACAAGATTAAATGATAGAAATTAATCACAACCACCACCACACAGTCAACCACTACCATCCACCACCAAATATGGAGACATACATTACCTTTAAGGAAAACACGGATCGGTGACATTCAAGAAAAACACAGAATGATTAGCTTTAAGAACTTCACTATCTTTAGGAACTTAATCGCTCTCAAAGAAACCCATATCCAGATCGATACTAAAGAAATAGATTAGCTATCACCATCGCTCTCAAACAAGGCAAAAGATTTACCCTTTTCTGCACCATGTAATCGAACCAAAAACTCAAAAGCCAAAATAGTTGAACCAAAAACTCAAAATCCAGTTTAACTCATGTGAAAATTAAATCCAAACCTACAAGAAAATTCTTTTCAGAGATCTGTAATCAATAATCATCGATGAAGAATAGGCTTTTCGGATTTTTTTTTCTCATCCACGATTATAGAAAGCTCATCGTCGATGAAGACAAAGCATTACAAAGTCTCATCGGAATGTTACTTTCCCGTACACCTATGGGAGAAAAGACGTCGTAGGGGAGAATTGTCGTTTCAAGTGTGAGATGAAGGATAATAAATTCAATGATTTTTACCTTTTCTTTTCTTACATTATAAATATTACGTGGCATTATCTGTCCACCTTATTTGCTCTAAAAACCTAATTACCGGTTAACAAATTGGTGGTTTCCTAATTTAACATGTAAAATATGACTTTAATGACCTATTGCATACAAAAAATACTTGAGTAATTAAATGTGTAAATTCTTCAAATTTTTATTGTGCCACAATGCCAAAAACCATTTATGAAAAGAACAAACATGAACAAGATTTTCAATTCATTCACGTTGGACACAATTAACTTGATCTACTCACCATCTTATAAGGAAAAATAAATAATGAATAAAAAAAAAGGAAATAAGTCTTTTTAACGAGAATACAATTGAAAGATCATGGGTTCAGCCCTCATTGAAAACATAAGTTATAATTTATGAGTTGTCTTTCAAAAAAAATATTATAAAATAAATAAGAAAAAAAAAACAAGTGGACAAGAAACCACAAGTGTTTTGATAGTTCAATGAAACCAAACGAGTAACTATTTTAATAGTTATTCTTAATACGTCTTTTTAGTAACTATATCCCAATAACTTGTTATCCCAACATACATACCATGACGAGTTTTCCTATAACTATTTACTTTTACATAAACTAGAAAACGGTCTAGTTTAACTACTACATAAATTTACAGAAAGAGCGTAATTTTATATGCGAGACATTAGTCTTTTATACATTATGCGTATATACCTATACATAGAGAATGACAGCTAAAATATTAATTACAAAATAGTCTGAAGTAGGATAACATTTTGGATATTTGCCCTTAACTAGATCTTCATCCCTGCAGCATAAACTCAAATACATACTCTCATGGATCTCATTCACAAGCTCTTAAACCTTATTCTTCCTGTTTTAACCATTATCCTGTTATTATTGCTTTATCCCATGATCTTAGTATTCAGGTTCTTCAACTACTTCATTAAAGTCGCTTTCCCTGAAGAACTCGCCGGAAAAGTAGCGCTGATCACCGGAGCTTCTTCTGGTATTGGCGAGGTAAAGTACAAGCAGTTTTACTGTTGAATCGTTGAATTTTTGTGGATAATCGACAATATATATTGAGATTAACTAACAAACAATAAAACTAATTGAAGCATTTGGCGTATGAATATGCAAAAAGAGGAGCGCGTTTAGCATTGGTTGCAAGAAGAAAGGAGCAGCTGGAGGTGGTTGCAGGGAGGGCGAGGGAGTTGGGGTCGCCGGAAGTGATCGTGATTTCCGCCGACGTTTCGAAGGTCGACGACTGTAAGCGGTTTGTCGACGAAACCATCCACCATTTTGGTAGCTGTGAGTGTTTACAGTTTCGTTTCCTCCTTGTTCGTTGACCTATATTTTTTCTTAAAATATCTTTTCCTTTAATTTGTTTTTAAATTAATTATTTTATGTGGAAAAGTGAATAATTTTTTTCTTTAATTAATTCTCTTTATTTTATGTGGAAAAGTGAATCACTTGGTGAACAATGCGGGTGTATGCTACATTCAGGATGAGGATCAAAGATGTTCTTTGGATTATGTTTCACTTATGGTACTAATCTAAATCATATAATTAAATAAATAAAATCACAAATTAATTACAACTTTGAATTTACTATTTGTCTAATTTTAACAGGACATAAACTTTTGGGGTTCGGTGTATGCAACCCAATTCGCAGTTCCACATTTACGTAACAGTAAAGGCAAAATAGTCGTTATTTCTTCTTGTGCTGGATGGTTTGCCCTTCCGAAACTAGGAATTTATTGTGTAAGAACAAGTGTTAGATAGCAATATCATCACTTCACTTGGTTTAATTTAATTTAATTTACATTGTACCAAAATTTTCTTAGTTATTGTGTATGATATGGTCTTTGTTAGGCAAGCAAAGCAGCATTGATAAGATATTTTGAAACGTTACGTGTCGAGTTTGGTTCAGATATTAGGATAACAATTGTCACCCCTGGAGTTGTCAAATCAGAAATTACAAGCGACAAATGGCTTTTGCAGGTAATGCAGATGGTTCTAGAATGATATCTTTGTAAAAAATAAAAAAATAAAAAAAGACGAGAGTTTGAACTTTGAAAAACACTGTGAGAGTTTCAATTTCAATGTGGATTAGATTAATAGACTCTTATTATGACATCCATCTATCACGTCGTTATGATTTACATCTGATTATTGTTGTGCAGTCAAACCTATATTGGGCACCGATGGTATCGACAGAAGATTGTGTCAAGACAATTTTAGATAGTATAAGACGTGGAGATGAGTATTTGACGGAGCCAAGATGGATGCGGGTTTTCTTTATGTGGAAAACACTTTGTCCCGAGATATTAGAATGGATTACCCGTTTTTTATTGATCACGTGTTCGAAGTATTCTCAAGAAAACAAAAAACCATGTTTGTTAGACAAAGGTCATATTGAATGATGTCATGGTAGTATATGTTTTTTTTTGTCTTTCTTTTGTATGTTTGATTAAAAATGTTCGGCAAAACAATTCGTGATGTACTTGTCAATTTTAAACTATTTTGATTTGACTAAACAATGTATGTTGTACTTTCCAGGTGTTTTGTTTTGTAAGAGGATTTTGTTTTGTAAGAGGATTGAAGAAAAAATAAAGAAAATTGCAAATTTGGTTCGTATACTTTATCAAAATTGCACTTCAGTCTAACTTTTTTTTTTGTCCCATGGTTAGTTCAAAATTGAAAACATCGTATAGATTTGGTCTCTTGAAAATTTAATCCACTTGGTGCTTTGCCCTTTTGATTTTTTCATTTTCTTTTATTAACTTAAATATTTTAATAATTAGAAAAAAAGGGTAAATTACATTAATGATTCATGCGGTTTGGATTAATTTGTGTGTTTAGTCTCTAACTATTTTTCTTAACTCGGATTTGCATATAGTTTAATTTTGTTTCACGCTTAATCCCTCACAAACCTCAAATGACTATACTACCATTATCTATTTCTTTTCTCATTTTTTATATATAATTGTTAATAATTCTTCTTTGATTAATTAATTTTTGTATATATGGCCCCACCCACCCCAACCACAATTCATCACGTCAACCACCACCATCGTTTTCTCCGTCTGTCACTTCTTCGTCGGAAAAAAACCAAATGTTTAACACTTGATTTAATAAAAATATAATTTCTACCAATTCATGAGTTTTTATCCATAATAGGGTTATTCAAAAAAAACTATTTCCATTTTAGTATTGTTTCAAAACTATTTAACATACTAATATTATTTTAAATTTAAAATTAAAAATATTGTTTAAAGAAAAAAGAAAACATGTTTGTCCCTCTCTCTACCCATCGAACAAAACATCAGGAAAAAAAACTAGGGATCCACTTGTCTCTCATCCGCTTGCTACCTCCTCCGCCCATCGCTGACCTTTTGCGTCTTCCTCCACCCGTCGTTGGCCACCTGTGGCTTCCTTCATCCATCGTCGGCCACCTACAGCTCCGTTAAAGGTATGCTCGATTCTATTTCAACTTGTTTCAGCTCCTATGTTTCTTATTCTAATTTTGATGTTTTTGTTGCAATTGAGAAACTGGTGGAATCGGTTTCTATGTCACACCCCAAAACCAAGAACGGCGGAAACATTCTGGGGTGGAGGACATCATGTATAGTATCACAACACAGAATAATAGTAAACAAGCAAACAACATCATCCATTGCATTAATAATATAATTTTAATACAAGTGTGTGATGTGGTTTATAAGACACCAAAATATGAATCAAAATAAAAGATGAGTCTTGTATGGGCTCCATCTTCTCAAAAGCTGGCCTCGGTATCTATCTACTGATGACCTGAGAATACAAGTTATTTTGAAAGAGTTTATCTGTAACATCGTAAATTTCAAGACAAATTTTTCATTTAAAATAATCATTTTACTCTTAGAAACACTTGTTTAAAATCTTATTCATAGTCGATTTACAAAACATAACTCCATTTTCACTTGCATAGAAAACCAGGATCCTCCAAAATATGACTCTTTCTCTGGTGTGTACAATCAAGCCGGTGTCGTCCCGTGATACTGAAAGAAACCTGAAAAACATCAAACAAAACACTGTAAGCACGAAGCTTAGTGAGTTCCCCAAAATACCACACATAACACATATTAGCCACTCGAGGCTATAACTCTGTGGGTCCGTGCACCCAAACTCTGTGAACCCTCAGGTTCTAACTCTGGGAACCTTCCGGTTCCAACTCTATAAACATGCACAGCATAAATCACATAGAAATAATGCAGTACAACACATCACGTACATATAGCATACAAATACTCTAATCACATAACTCTGGTTACCTACTCAAGGTAAAGTATAGTGAGAAGACTCACCTGGCAAGCAGGAAGCAGATATCCCCACACTTGAATCTCGAACTCGCCACCGCCTAACACGTAAGGCAAATACTCTCATGAATATAACTCTCGAGACTAGAATAAATCCTCTCATAACACCCTCTTATGGTTAAAAGACTATTTTACCTCTCTCTTGGCCCAAAGGCCACATCGCTGACCAAACCCTAAAAGTCAACGGCCAACCCTTGGTCGAAATCAAAGTCCTCAGTCTAAGTCAACCCCTGACTGACCCTACTCGCCGAGTCAACCCTGTGACTCGTCGAGTTCCCATAATCAGAACTTTATTCAATCTGCGACCTAACTCGCCGAGTCACCCCGAGACTCGCCGAGTCCAACAACTCTGAGTCCACTCGCACTCGACTCACCGAGTCATCCCTCGACTCACCGATTCTCGGCTCAACCAGAGAATATTTCGGACTCTTCGACAAGACTCGTCGAGTCCAAGGCTATCTTCAACCTACTCGCCGAGTTGTTCTTCCAACTCGTCGAGTTCCAGGCCATCTTCAAGCAACTCGTCGAGTCGACCCATGTGACTCGCCGAGTACCACCGTTCTGAATCCATTCAGAAGCACTCCAGGCCATGCAATTGATCCAAAACATAGATCTAGCCTCCTACAACCCATCCATCACGTAAAGTGGCAAACTTTACGTGAATCCAAAGAGATCTAAGCCGTTTGCACATTGGGGCTAGGGTTTGGGACATGTAAGCTTCACTAAACACTCCAACACAGGGACTTTCATGCTCTCTGATTCTTCTCCCTTCCAGATCTGAGGTAGCAACCTCAGATCTAACCTCTAGACTTCCCATTTCATCCATAGACAATTTCTCACAAACCCCAAAATGAAGAAACAACATAACAACAGGTCAATAACGAGATATTACCTCTAAGTGATGCCCCAACTGCAATGAAATTCGAATCCAAGCAAATCCCCTTGCTCCAAGCCTTCAATCTTCCCAAAATTCCTTCAACCATTACTTCTCCAAGCTCCAATCCACTCAACAATGGTGCTTCTCCGTGATTTAGGGTTTTCTGGGGCTCAAGGGGTGATAAAGAGGCTGGGAGGAAAACATAGTGATCTTTATATAAGGCTCAACCCCGAGAATTAGGGTTTTCTCCACTCAGCGCCTACTCGCCGAGTCCATTACACTGACTCGCCGAGTCGGCCACTTAACACGCGACCAGGTCGCGACTCTACTCGCCGAGTCCGCACATGGACTCGCCGAGTCACTCTTTCCCAATTTACTCTTTTAGCCCTTCAACTCTACTCTTGATATTTCGGGATGTTACAATTCTCCCCCACTTAAATTAGGCTTCGCCCTCGAAGCCTACAACAACTCAACTCCAGAAATACTCCCACAACGTGCCACCTGGCCTTAATCGGACCCGCTCTTACAAGGCATACCCATCGAAACTCGAACACACTTTCCCTTTCCTTACGGTGTCCTGACCACTGTCTCGAACCGGGCACCGGATGTACCCTCAGATAACCACACTCAACGATCCGAGAATTACCCATGAAGCATCACTGATCCAAATCTCAACAATCACTTGACCCATAAAGGTTAGAAGCCATGAACCATCGGATCCCCGATCCAAATCCCATCCTATCCAATCCGTGATGACAGAAAGGCCCACTCTTCAATCCCAGAGCAAATCTCATGAGTCCTCTTCTTGCACTCAAGCACCCAAGCCGCACCAACCTTCGCACTCTCGGGTTAGGAGAACCCGTCGCACTGATGACATCTCTAACGTCCCCAGGAGACACCACCACTACGCACACGACCCTTGATCAGAATCAAGCTGGGAGTCCCAGACTCCATCCCTACATCCATCCTAAGACTCTTGGCTCTACACCTGTGGAATCCCTTCCGCATCCTCAGCAGACATCCCATCATGATGTCATTCCATACCACTGTCACAGACACAATGTTCGACCATCAGACTCCACATCATCCATTCTCACTACAACTTCCACTTCCGCGAATCGACACTTTCCTCAGCAAATGAGGGTCCGACACTTCCTCCCATACAACAACATCATCCATTGCATTAATAATATAATTTTAATACAAGTGTGTGATGTGGTTTATAAGACATCAAAATATGAATCAAAATAAAAGATGAGTCTTGTATGGGTTCCATCTTCTCAAAAGCTGGTCTCGGTATCTATCTACTGATGACCTGAGAATACAAGTTATTTTGAAAGAGTTTATCAGCATTAAAGATGGTGAGTTCATAACTATTTAGTGTCATACTTTGTATGAAAATGTTTGTAAGTGTTTGAATGTAAGAGTACGTAAAATATTTGTAGTAATTGTTTGTATCTCCTAGAAAATCCTATATTTTCCATTAAAAGCAGCCTTCTACCAAGGCATCAAGTGTATTGTATGTTTATTGTAAAAATGAGTATCTTTCCCAAATGTGACTATTATTAGTAAAATATAGTTTTTACACTACTCTTTATTGTGAGGAGATCACAAAGTAGATGTAAAGGGAAAATAATGAAGTACTGTACTATTATGATATTATAACTACTATTGTACCAACTACCTTAAACCAATTGTTAATTAAGGTAAAATGTAATGTAATTGTAACCATACTTGATCGACCTAGTGAAACACGACATTCGAAAGCGTCGAGATATTATGACATTCATCACCCAAAGACCTGCAGGTCCCACTATAGCTAGCAGCAAGGTGTATGACGGTTAGTCCAGTATAGATCTATACACGAATTCACGCTCTCCCTTCAGGAGACTCTGGATACAAGACGAGCCATGATAGAGATGTCATGCCCCGAAGTAGTGCCTCACATTTATGATATAGTGTGTATGTAGTGTATGTACTAGTGTAGTGTATGTCTCCCCTGATTCTCATCATAGTAAGGTCTCTAGTATAGTATATAGTGTGTATGAATAGTATGTACTAGTGTATGTTCTCTCTGTCTAGTGAGTAGTATGTTCTCTCTGACTCTCATTATAGTATGTTCAGTTGTATAGTGTAGTGTATGCATTGTTTACAGTATGTATTGACTCATGTATGAACTGACTCTTTGTATGTTTCATTGTACTAGACAATATAAGAGTTTAAAGAATTGAAAGTAAAAAATTTTGGAAACTAAAACTAAGTTTTATAAAGGTTTTAACATGTAGAAGTGTTTGATAAACATTTGCAAGTAGTTTTGTTGACAAAACAGTTTAAAGTATAGTAAATCCATTTGTGTGCTAGTTATTAATCACATGTGATTGATATAATAACTAGTGTGATTCAACTTGTATTCCTCCCCCCCCCCCCATAAAAACATTTAAAAGATTAATTAAGGGGTATGAACTCACCTGTAGTGAGTGGTTTGGATGGAAGTGTTGGACAAGGTGCTAAGTGTCAATTGAAGACTTGAGCACACACAATGATCCTATTAACATATAAAGACATATGTATGCATCTAATTAGTGATTATAACACTAATTATGTAAGTATAAACACCCTAAAGCGTGGAAAACACTTTGGTTAAAGTGTTAGAAGGCCATTAGGTTGCATCAAAGGGGTGTAAGGCATTGCATTGGAGTTTTCGGCCCAAGGACCAAACCTTATGGAGTTTACAGCCTAGGGTTTGCGGCCCTAGTGGGTTTACGGTCGTAAACCCATGGCAAACTCGATGTTTAAGGTCCTTAGTTCAATGGTGAATGGTTCTAGTCCAAGTTATAAGCATTAGGAAGGAAGTTAGGACAACATTGCACCCCTTCATGGAGTTTACGGCCTTAGGAGATGCCTTGGTCGTAAGCTCCCATCCATTCTAGATTTCATGAGGTTTCTAAGGTGTAAACATGTTCATTCAAGCACACAACAAGCTAAGACAAGAGTACTTACAATATAGAAGCCTGTTTGGGTGTTTAAGGTCCAAGAACACTAGTGTGTGTTCTTGGTGTTTTGAAGAACACTTGAAGATCTATGTAAAAGTGAAGATTTCATGGATGAAATGGTGTATAACAACTAGATGAAAGGTTATAACAACAAATCATGGGTAGAAAAACTTACATTTTTGGAAGATTGGAAGAAAGAGGTTATGATACTTGAGAGATAAAGTAGGAGTTCTTGAGTTATGAAGTGAAGAATGAGAGAAATGGGGAGTAAACTCATGTTATATGCATGAGTTTACGGCCAAAAGGAGTTCACGGCCCAAACCCCATTTGTTTGGCCGTGAACACCTAACCAAGGTGTTGGTTGATTTGTTGATGCCCCATAGTCCTAGAATATACTTCCTTTTATTCGTTCATTTGAAGAACAAATATTAAAAACACTCAAACGGACTTTAAACCGGCTAAAAAATTAGCAGAAAAGTATTTGACTTTTATTTGAAGTGCTTGACTGTAGGGTATGTACGAATGGAAATTTCTTCGGTCGACCAATTAGCGGACATCTTCACCAAACCTCTACACAAAGATCGGCTAACGATGTTAAGGCACAAGCTTCAAATTCACCCCGCATTTCAGCTTGCAAGGGGTGATAACGGTAACCTCAGAAGGTGTTTAATTACACGTGTGTAGAATTAGTATTAGTCAAAGTCTATACTAGTCTAATGCTTTTATTTAGGATTAAGTTGTATTCTCTCTTATATATATTTGCTTATGTAGTTGTTGTCATATAGAAATTAATATACAGAATACTTTCATTACTTCATCTTTACAAATCACATCTACCTTCCATTTTCTTTTTTACGGCTATTTGGTATCTAAGAACACAACAACACCGTCTTCAACTACGAGCAACACACCCTATGTGAGAAATCGAATTCTCCATTGTTTCACACATGAACGCCTAATTACAAATAAAAAACCCACTTTTGTTGCAAGGGCGATGGCAGCGGAGGGGGAGAGAAAGAGACGAAATAAAGAAAATTGGGTGGCGATGGGTTTTCTGATGAACGCTAATTCACATCGGAGGTGGAGGGTTAGCCAGCAACTGAACAGTTATGATGCTAGTTGCCATCGGCGATAGAGGCAAAAATAAGTTGGAGGTCTCGTTGGGGAGCTTGATGACAGAAAATAGGAGGAGAGGGGGGAGTGGTACCAAAAACTTAATTAACCATTTTGTTTGACCATTTAAAAATAATAATAATAAGGGATTTTTTTTAATATTTGCTTAACCACATATATAAGAAGTAATAATTGAAATATTAATTATAAAAAAGATTATTATAATTAAATGTAATAAACATTAATTATAAATAAAGAAATTAAATACTCTTTTATTTTTCGTTCCTACCAATTTCTATCTATTTAAATAATAACGTGTGTCATGTTAATTTAATAAAGTATTATTAAAATTCATTAAATAAACAGTAAATGTTATATATATATATATATATATATATATATATATATATATATATATATATATCAATATTTAATTGAGGAAGAGGATTTGTAGGAACAAAAAATAGGAAGATATTTAATTTCTTTTATAAATAATATTCTTTATAATTAATGTATTTTCTATTTAATTATGGTAATATTATACATAATTAATCTTTATCATATTTAATTATGGTAATATTTCTTATAATTAATATTTCAATTAATTTTTCTTATATGTATCTTTAGGGCATATATTAAAAAATCCCTTTTATAATATTCTAAATTGTAAGGAATCCAAAAAATTATTTCATAGTTTAATTAGAAGAAAAAAAATATGAATATTAATATATTTTCTTTAAATACAAATAAATGAAAACTAATTTATCATTGAGTAAATTTTATTCAAGAAAATATAAACCAACCAGAACCAATAAAAAAATGTCAATCTATTGATATTTTTTATTAATTAATTAATTAATTTTATATGGAAAAGTGATTAATCAAATTAAAAGAAAATCACCTATTAATAACCACTTTGAACTTACTAATTGTTTGAATTTATAACGGGACATAAACTTTTAAAGTTCAGTGTATACAACCCAATTTGCAGTTTCATATTTACGTAACAGCAAAGGCAAATTAATCGTTTTTTCTTCTTGTTGTGGATGGTTTGTCATCCCAAAATTAGGGATTTAGTGTGTAAGAACAAGTGGTGGATATCAATATCATTACTTGTTTTGATTTAATTTGAATTGCATCATAATTTTCGTAATTATGGTGTTTAATTTGGTCTTTGTTAGGCAAGCAAAGCAGCACTTATAAGATATTTTGAAACAATGCGTGTCGAGGTTGGTTCACATATTGGGGTAGCAATTATTACCCATGGAGTTGTCAAATCGAAAATTACAAACGACAAATGGCTTTTACAAGTAGATAACAGAGTTGGTTTTGGAATGGTATACTTGCAAAAATTAGATGAGGATTTAAATAACAACCGAGTTGGTTTTGGAATGGTATGCTTGCAAAAATCATATGTGGGTTTGAATTATAGTGGGGGAGCTTCAATTCTAATTCCAATGTGGATTGGTTCTTGGATTCCTTATTATGATAGCCATCTATCAAGTCGTTGTGTAGCTTATTTACATCTGCAATGACTGTTGTTGTGCAAACAAACCTAAATCGGACATCGATGGTGTCGACAGAAGATTGTGCCAAGACAGTTTTAAATGGTATAAGATGTGGAAATGAGTATGCTCGGAGCCAAGATGGATGGGGGTTTTATTAATGTGGAAAACAATGTCCCGAGATACTAAAATGGAGTATCCGTTTACTCATAACATGTTCGAAGGATTCTAAGGGAAACAAGAAACCATATTTTTATCACAAAGAGAACATACTCAACGATGTCATGTTACTATACTTTAGGTGTTTGTCAATTTTAAACTCTTTGATTTGACTTAACAACAAATGCCTACAATTTCTCCTGTTTTGTATTGGATTTCAAGAAACAAAAATAAAAGAAAGAAATGAAATGTTATTGTTTCCATCAATGTTGGAGGGAAAGAAAAGAAAAGTGGTCAAAGACAAAATATACTTTTTCTTATTTTATGTCTTTAAAAGAAAAGGAGAGTTTTAAAATTAAAAGTAAGTAAAAGTATTTTTATCTTTTATTTTTTTGACTGAACATGTCAACTTTTTTTCAATGTTTTACTTTTGACCCAAAATGTAAATATTTGTAACAAATTTGGTCTAAACATTAACTTTATTACAAATTTAGTTTAATCAACAAACTATTTTTCCCTCGTTAATTTTATTACAAATTTAGTTCTAGTGTTTTAACCTTTTTTTACACTTTCATACAACTCATTTTAAACCAAGTATTTTGTAAACTATAAAACTAAGATCCTTTGACTCTTTCCATTACCATCTTCTGAATTTGACTTTTCAATTCAAAATACACACCCAATGACAATAACCTTTTCTATCTTTTCTTTTCCATCCCATAAAAATCTAGAATTCATTTATATATACGCATCTATTACAAAAACAAATATGAAACGCAAAAGTGCCACCTTATTAGTGAAGGTAAAAACATGAGGCAAAAGAAAATCATCAACATATTAATTCTTGAGACATTAGAATTAGATGGATGCAAACATATATTGTTTATGGGGAAAGATGAATTGGGTCAAAACGTAGATGATTTTGATGAGTATTACTATTTGATTTTAGTCTTGTAAGAAGCGACCATGCATCAGATAAACAACAACCCTGTTGCATTTCTATAGCAACCGGAAGACCACATGCTTCATTTATCCTTACAACCATTGTCCCCTGTCAATTTCCACATAAATAAAATTTTTAATAAATTTAAATTACTAAAACATAAATAAATAAATAGGTTAGTTATGATTTATGAATTGACCTCGAAGTTGACTAAAAAAACTTGAAACTGTTTCATTTTGTTCTTCATGTCATGAACCCTTGAAGAGTCTCGAGATGACAAAGCGGCATTCACCTCTTCAGGGGAATAACCTATCTTTTTTTGTACAACCTGAAAATAATCAAATTATTAAATATTAAACAATTTATATTTTTTTTTTTTAAATGGAGATTGAAAAGTCAACTTATAATATAACTTACGTTGTGGTCAATAAGGATCTCGGATATGAGGCTACCATCATCTATGTATACTTGAAGTTTGTAGGTGCTGCTTTCTTTAAACTGGAATCCTTTCACTCCAGTCAAAAAACACTAAAAAACCAAAAAAAGTGTTGATTTTTTTTAAAATATTGTTTCTTTTTGTGATTAAATAAATTTAAAAAGATGATACCTTGATTTTACCCTGGACATGAGAGGCGTTATGTTTTGATTCATCCCATTTACGTGATAAAGTGGCCATGTATGTGAAAGGGTTTTCAGTGTTTATACCACAGGCATATGTAGGAGAATGAGTTTCTCTCTCTATCTCTTGAGCTTCTCTCTCATTTGAAAAGTCAACATGTTCAGAAGAAGGTGGAGTAGTACCTACATATTGGTTAAGTAAAAAAATAATGAATACTTAATACTTAATATGATACATTAATTAATGAAAAAACAATAATGATTTGAAATTTAAATATAACTAGAGGAGTATAATGAAGTAATATTGAACGAAAAGGTAAAATGGTTTTTTTTTACTCTTATTCATTTATCCCAATAAAAAAAGACAATTTCATTATTGGTCCTTATGGTTTGCAAAATATCTCACTTTGAAGACTTTCATGGAAAACGTCATGCCACTGTCCATGTGGTTTGCAAAATTTCATTAATGGTCCTCCTACTCGTAAATCTAAGTTTTCAGCTGGTAGATTTTTATGAAAAAGACTATGTAACCTTGTACCAAATTTGCAATATATTACAAACCTTAAGGACCATTTGTGTAATTTTGTAAACTTGATGCCGGTTCATGTTTTTTTATAGTTAATATCATTAGAAACTTTATATTTGCATTTATCATTATCATTATTTTACCTTTTGTTTTCTTTTTTTTTTTAATTTTAGTTATTTATTATTCTTCTATAGTTTTTATTTATTTTGATTCAAGTAATGAAAAACAAAAAAACAAAAACTCAGAAACCAAAACTTTAATATACTTTAATATATCAATACATTTTACACTTTTCATCATTTTTTCGTTTTTTTTATTTTTATTTTTTCATATTATTTTATTGTTTTTTAGTTTTTATATTTTTTCGTTGTTTCGTACTATTTTTCATCGCTTTGATAAAAGAAATTTTGATTATTTTCTAAAAGTGTAAAATGTATGAATATATTAGAGTATATTATAATTTTGTTGTTTGAGTTTTTTGGTTTTCTATTTTTGTTTATAAATTTTGGTTATTTATGGTTTTTGTAAAAAAAAATATTTTGATTCGACTAAATAAAATAGTTATATTTACAAATATAAATAAAGAAAATAAACATAAGTTTTTTATTTACTCGAATCAAAATATTTTTCTTTTACAAAAACCATAAACAACCAAAATTTATAAAAAAAAATAGAAAACCAAAAAACTCAAACAACAAAATTATAATATACTCTAATATATTCATACATTTTACACTTTTAGAAAATAATCAAAATTTCTTTTATCAAAGCGATGAAAAATAGTACGAAACAACGAAAAAATATAAAAAAAATATATAAAACTAAAAAATAATACAAATAAATTAATAAAATAATACAACAAAAAAAAAAATTTAAATCAAAAAAAGATGAAAACTGTAAAATGTATTAATATATTAGAGTATGCTACAATTTTGGTGCTTGAGTTTTTGTTTTTTTGTTTTTCTATTTTTCATTACTTGAATCAAAATTTAAAATCGGTTTCGATATGGTTTATTGAATTTAAATTTATTACTTGAATCAAAAAAAATAAAAACATAAATAACTAAAATTGTAAAATAAAAATAGAAAACAAAATGTCAAAAAGATTTTTTTTTTAAAAGTTATCAAATTGTTGAAAATATATATATATATATATATATATATATATATATATATATATATATACATATATATATATAAATACAAATTTTCAAATTTGCAAAATTAAAAAAATGGTCCTTGAGGTTTGTAGTATATTGCAAATTTGGTACAAGGGTAAAATAGTTTTTTTTATAAATATCTAACAGCTGAAAAATTAGATTTAACGGTAGAAGAACCATTAATAAAACTTTGCAAACCAAAGGACCAGTCTCGTGACGTTTTCCATGAAAATCCTCAAAGTGAGATATTTTGCAAACCACAGGGACCAATTATAAAACTTTGTCAAAAAAAAAAAAAAAAAGCCTTTGTTCACATACATTATTTTAAAGTGATATTTACTATGCCATAAGAACATATTAAAAAATGCCATAAGACATTTAAAGGTTAGTTGATGATGTTAGCATAACATTAACAAATCTTGTTTAATATATATATATATATATATATATATATATATATATATATATATATATATATATTAATTTATGAGTTAAATAGAACTTGAACATGACATACCTTCTTCATCATCCACTTGTATTGGAGAGACATTGGTATTTGATGATCCTGAAACATATTCCCTATCAAGGGGAACAGGAATTGAAGAATTTGATGAAACTCCTCCATTAAAAGGAGCTCTGGTAGTCGTACCTAAAGTACATAAAACACATAGTAAAGTTTTTTTTTTTTTTTTTTTTTTAAAAACATGGACAAGATGGATTTTGTAAATTTAATTAAAAGGAACAAAAGAACTTGCATACCTTGGTTGTCCACCTGTATTGGAGTTGTTGCATCATTTTGAGAGGTATGATTATTTGATGCTCTAAAAACAAATTCCCTATGAACTGAAGAACTTGATGACATATTTCCATTAACAGAAGGTCTAGTAGTAGTACCTGCATACAATGTTTCTTTAAAATAAGTTATAACACTACAGAGCATTGGGCACTGAAAACATTTGAACCCAAGAGAATTATATCTCACTATTTGTCAGGAAAACCAAATGTTCATGGGGAAGTTTGTTATGTTCATTTATTTATGAAAAAAAAAAAAAACGAATTTACATACCTTGATCATCTACCTGCATTGGAGTTGCATTTTGATTATTAGAGGATACTGAAACGTGTTCCCTGTGAACAGGAACTGAAGAATTTGATCCCACTCTTCCATTAACAGAAGGTGTAGTAGTACCTATAATACACGAATGTATACTTAAGTAAAAAATACTGGAAGCAAAAAAAGTATATATGAATTCACATTCACATACCTTGGTTATTTACATGTATTGGAGTTGCACTTTGGGGTACAGTGTTAGCTGAAGGTGCTGAAGAATCGACATTGTTAGTTGACCATGCAGCACGAGTAGCTCTAGTTGCTAAAGACGCTGCAACTCCTGTTCTTGTTCTGAAATTAAACACAACATACAAATTAATAGTTTGAATTTAACAACAATCACTTTCATTATAGATATCAATCTTTCGTGCCTTTCCTTTCTGATCTAATCTTTAGTGGTTTGACTCTTGATCAGTGACATTGACAAGATTTCCATCATTGACTAACCTTTTGCCTCTTGGAGGTTTGTTGACTTCATTAACAAGTCTTTGCCTTGCTGCATCCAGCTCCTCAACTAGTCCTCCTAAGACTTGAAACACTTCTGGAACCAGCATTAGTAGCCCATGCCTTACATTTACATTAGAAATAGCAACCTGAAACAGGATAATTGATCTGGATTTACTTTGTTATGAACAAGAATGTGTAGGAGTTGTAAACTATTCCAGTGAGTGTGAGGACTAGAATACAGAACCTTCAATCCAGCAGGTGAAAGGGCGTCTAGATCTTTAATAGGCTGGTATTCCATGCCAAAGATTCGTTGAACACCATCAGTCATAGACAACTTAAGGCACCTCTTTAAGCCAGAAGGTGCCTTCTTGTATCGCTCTCGAAGAGGTTGACTGATATTTACTATCTCATCAACCTGTGAAAATACATTAATGTCAGTTTGAAGCATATAGAAGCCGATCCCTAATTGTATTTTAACCTATACAACCCAAAACAGTTATTAAGCTGATGTCATCATCAAATGAAGTCCAATTTCTACAAAAAAAAAAACTAACTAGAGACTAAGAAACAATAAAATACCTGTAACACAAAGGGTCCAGGAAGATCAACAAGGTGCATTTGATGCACGTTATCTGGAAGAAAGCCTGCCCCGCAAATGTTCATGTCAGAATGCAAAAACTTCTCAAAGCAGAGCTTAGCCTTTTTTGTTGCATCAAAGCTGGAAAATCCAGGGACGCTTGTCTGGAGACCACGAAGACAAGCATCCAACCATTCACGCCGTAGTCTCAGCCCTAAATCTTCTAGAATTTTACTGATTGGACAACCAGAAGCTTCACTCGTACCAGCACTGCTAGTTCTGGAATATTCCGAAGAATAACCCGCCTGGTTTGAGGGTGGGGGCCGGGGCGGGGGCGGGGGCGGAGGCGGAGGCGGAGGCGAAGACTGAGGAGAAGGGGAGAGATCCTCGGCTGCATCGATGAAGTCCTCATCGGATATTTCGACTTGGATGGAAGTAGAGGGATTGGTAGGGTTAGAGTTGATGGAACTTAGGGTTACATCTTGAAGATTGAGGGTTTCGCATTCGATATCATCGTGTTGTTGAGGAGGAGGTTGTACTTCTTGTATTTCTTCGTCGTCGTCTTCTTCGTCAGATGAACAAATTATCCTCAGACGCCTCCTGGAGGACATTGTCGTCTACAATAAGCGCACCGTTTTCCCTCCACTTTTCTCTTTTTTTTCGAAATCATTGCAGAGAGGGAATTCGTAGGGTTTTAAGCCATTTAATTTTGTTAAATTTACCATATTAGTTTTTTGGTAACATTTATCAGATAACAATATTTTATTAGAAAAAAATATTTTAGTAAATTAACATTTTAAAATAAAAAAATCATCACCTTATATCTAAAATTTTAGATTAAACTTTTCTTTGTTACTGATCTACTAAAAAAAAAATTTTAAATATATATCAAGGTTTTATCTTTTGATTTTTATAATCGACGCTCATTTATTGGACCATCGGAATGTTCTTCACGAATGGACTTGTGGCATATGTGGCCACAAACCACAATTGTTACACTTTAAGGTATTCATAATACTCACTAATAACCACTATAATGGTGGGTATCACATCATCGTTATATCCAACCACTAAAACCATGGGATACCTACTACTAATACAATAATGTACATCATTTTTTTAAGTAAAGTTAATGTAAAAATAAAATGAAAATGCAATAAAAACATATATATTTTTTAAAACTGGTTATTTATTCAATAAAAAAAGAAACTACATTAATTAAAAAAACAACGAACAACTACCCTTAATCCTATTTTTTTTTAATAATGTTTTTCCATTTTGGGAAATTCTTCAACCACTAAAATCATGGGACCCCGCCCGATACACATATAAGCATATAAACACAAAATCATACTAACACATGTGAAATCACAAAGATAATATGTCACACCCCAGAACCAAGAATGGCGGAAACATTCTGGGGCGGAGGACGTCATGTGTAGTATCACAACACAGTAATTGTAAATAAGCAAACAACATCATCCATTGCATTAAATATAAACATTTTAATACAAGTGTGTTCCGTACAGTTTTAGACACCAAAAATATAATGTATATCAAAATAGTATGATGAGACTTGAATGCGCTCCATCTTCTCAAAAGCTAGCATCGGTACCTGTCTACTGATGACCTGAGAATACAAGTGATTTTGAAAGAGTTTGTCAGCATTAAGCTGGTGAGTTCATAAGTATTTTTGTGTCGTGGTTCGTTTATCAAAAACATTTTGAACCTGTTGCAAGTATGAGTTGTAAATGTATGTAAGTGTTTGTAAATGTTTGAATCTCTCAGAAAAACCTATATTTTCTGTTTAAAGTATAAAAGTAGCCCCTTTTACCAAGGCTTAATAGTTTGTATGCTCGTTTGATGTAAAAGTGTGAAATTTCCCAAGTGTAACTATCATTTAACAAAATATAGTTTGTACATTTAAGTTTAGGTGAGGCTATCACCAAAATGCAATGGGTAAATTCTTGTAGTACGGTAGTTTCGTTTTATATGAACTACTGTGGTACTAACTACCTTAAACCAGGTTTATATTAAGGTATCGTGTGATAAGTTGCACCATACTATTGACTGGTAACATCGACAACGTATAGTCGAAAAATAGGTTATGACGTTTGGCACCCGTAGACCTGCCGGTCCCACTGTAGCTAACAGAAAGGTGTAGGATAGTCAATCCAGTATAGATCTATACGCAAACTCAACGCTCTCCCTCCAAGAGACTCTGGCTACAACCCGGGTCATGACAATTAAGACATGAACCCATACAGTGGATCACAATTGTTAAAGTATTCGTGTTTTGTAATAAAATATTACTTGTTCTAGTATCGTTGTATATGTTCTCTTAGTAATGAATATTGACTCATGAATGAACTGACTCGTTGATCTAGAAATCGTAGTAGTATGATCTCGTGTTACCCCGATGGTAACTTACTAATGATGTGTTTGATAAGCATGTATATGGAAGTACCTTTATGTCTATACACGTATATACGACATATAACTAATATTGAAACGACCCTCGGATAGTCACCCGAAATTCCACCAGACCACATCCAAATCGAGGAAAAGGAAATAGGATAGGTGGCTTTCCTAAGCCCTTTAAACATTATTTATACAGCTATACATATATAGGCATGCAAATTTATAAGTAGTAAAACAAGTTTACAATAAAGCATTTGATAATAAAAGAGTTTGTAAAACATTTTGAAGTAAAACGTTTGAACAGTGATAAAATCATTGGTTTCTTAGTTATTAATCACATGTGATTAACGCCGTCACATGTGACCGAAACAATAACTATAAGTGTTTAACTTGTATTCCCCCCCCATAAAGCATTTAAAAGTATTTAGAATAATTAAAACAGTTGATTAAGGGGTATGAAACTCACTTGGAAATTCGAAGATAGCGAGCTCGAAAACCGGGCAGAGTTTCGTCTCGCGAAACGGATTTTCTCGGGATTCTCGGGAATCTCGGGAGTAAAATCGACCCTCGGGACTTGAGCAAAAAGACCAGAGCTTCGGGTTTGAACGGGCACGGAAATCGAGGCAAGATCGGGAGAGAAAGAGAGGAAATGAACAACATTTTCGGAAAGGCTCGCATCCCTTTTATAGGGTTGCTGAACCGCCTCCGAACGCGGGGCGTACGGGCGTACGCAGCGCGTACCCGTGCGTCATCGCTTACGCACTTCGGACGGGACGGGTTCCTGGGTTCGCGGGTCGGATGGGACGGGTCGGTAGCTTCGCATAGGGTGACGTGGTCGATCCGAGACCCTCCATTCGGGTACGCGGCGCGTACTTCGGCCCTAGGCTGACTCCCCCCTCGGATAATACCGAACTTTTAATAAAATTTATATTTAAATTATTTATCAAACTTCAAAAATTCATATCTCTTTCATACGAACTCCGTTTTCGACGTTCTTTATATCCCCGCGAAGGTGAGACTACGATCTACAACTTTCGTTTAGATTCCGTTGGCAAATTCCGAAATTATTTTTATTATTGTTTTTATTATTTAATATCAATCCATCGTGTTTAAGGAATTTCTTTGAAAACTCATAACTTCGCTATCTGGAGTCGGATTTGGGCGATCTTTTTACGCACGATCATGGTTCAAAGACATTAAATCATAGAAAGAAATTAAGTAGAACTTATTTATACATTTTATTACTCATAAGTGGTTACAATACTTGACTTATTAGGTCATTACAAAGAGTTGAAATATCGGGTTGTCACATCATCCCCCCGTTAGAGGGAATTTCGTCCCAAAATTTAAAGTAAGGGAACACTCGTGGACTAGGGAAACAGATGTGGGTACTTGCGTTGCATCTGATCTTCGCGTTCCCATGTGAATTCAGGTCCCCGCTTAGCGTTCCAGCGAACCTTCACGATGGGTATGCGACTTTGTTTTGTTCTCTTGACCTCACGGTCCATGATTTCCACTGGTTCCTCCACAAAATTGAGGCTCTCGTTGATCTCGATTTCGTCGAGTGGAATTACGAGAGTCTCGTCGGATATACACTTTTTCAAGTTAGATACGTGGAATGTAGAATGTACGTTACGGAGTACGCCTGGTAGATCGAGTTTGTAAGCTACAGGGCCGACTCTTGCAAGAATCTCGAAAGGCCCTATGTACCTCGGATTTAGCTTCCCACGCTTGCCGAAGCGTATCAAGCCCTTCCAGGGTGAGACCTTGAGAAGGACTTTGGTCCCCCACCTGAAATTCCAAAGGTTTCCTTCGTTTATCTGCGTAGCTCTTCTGTCGGTCTCTAGAGGCTTTCAATCGTTCACGGATTTGAACGGTTTTCTCTGTCGTTTCCCGGATGATTTCCGGACCGGTAAGAGTAACGTCGAAAGCTTGCCCCTTTGCTAGTTGGGTATTGTCACACCCCCCAAACCAAGGATGGCGGAAACGTCCGGGGGTGGAGGACTTCATGTATAGCATCATAACCACAATTTCAATAGTAATTCAAGCAAACACAACCAACATATATATAATTGAAAAGTTACATCACTTTCATGAATTACATGTTTCAAAATCAATTACAATATGTTGTCAAATATGAAAAGTTTGACACCTCAACGTCCCATCCTCAAAAGCACTTGGTAACACGATTAATGCTTTCCTGTGAATACAAGTTGTTTGAAAAGTGTCAACACAAGGGTTGGTGAGTTCATAAGCTTTTATTAATAATCTTATTAGAAGTCTTTCACATGTAAATGTCGCGTTGTTTCAGAAAAATCCGATATTTTCCTCGAAATCCGAAAAAATGTAGCCTTACAACCAAAGACTAAAATGTATGAAGAGTCATCGTTTCTTAGTAGGAAAGTTGTGAGTTTAAAATGAATTGGAAAGTAAATTTATTTTATCAACCTAAAACCTACTTTGGTTTTTATGCAACCCCGTAAACTTTATGAATTGTTGTCTCCCTAAGTGAGTCGCTATAATCATACTGTGACTATGTGAACCTGCCACAACGTTTCTCAGGCGTCGCGAAAATGAAATGACATTTGTCACCCGTAGACCTGCAGGTCCCACTGTAGCTAGCAGCAAGGTGTGGGGTGTCAACCCAATATAGATCTATATACAAGTATCACGTTCTCCCTCAAGGAGATTCTGATTATAACTACCAGGAATTATATCCCGCACTCGGACGTACGGGGAGAGAGAGTCTCACCATAGGTTAACAAGTTTACTTGAAATGTGTGTGAATATAAATCTTTCTTGTATGAATGTACCCTTTTTGTACGAGTGCGTTGAGTGATGTATCATAAACTATACCTATTATAGTTTATCTAAATTGTACGTAATATGTATGAATTCTTTTATGGAAATGTATTAGTATTGTGAATTTATCAAAACTATACATTTTATAGTCTAATAATACGTGTTCCAAAATGAATGAATAATATTTAATATTTAATATGAATGTCTTAATTTCCAGTTCATAATGATAAACTAACACGGAAACGCATTCAAATATTAGAACTTATGATTATACACTTTGCTCAACATAATACAAGTGTTATGATATTTACATGCTGTTGGCTAACTTTAGCCATTCTGCCCTGTATTTTGGAAAAATCATAGAAAAATCATACGAAGTCGAAAACTA